CCTTATTTGGACATGTTGCCCTTATTTGGGCATGGGCGCCATGTTTGACCTACCTGGCGGCCATCTTGGATTTTACAATTTAAGAGAATGTATGGGAAAAACTTGGTCACGTGGTACGATCCCTGGCTCCTGATTGGTTACGGCCCCAACAAGCGTATATGACTACTAACAGCTGTTCAAAGAGAAGAAAATTTGCAATTTTCTCTACATTACATAACAGCATTACCTGTTTCCTTTTATTTTTCCATAAGGTTGTGCCATCTTTCTTACGAGCTTTTATTTCGCAAACTCTGCGCAGCGAAGCAGCAAAAGTAAGCCATTCAAGGGATAGCCTTGCTCAAAAGACACATATCTAATTTGAAATTAAACTTGAATAGCTCTAGAATGCTTTTTTTTTTTTTTTTTTTCATTTGAGCCGAGTGTCAACTGCTATAATGCCAACAAATTCATCGAAATAAACTGAATATTTTGTTATTTATCGCAATTTTATTTCCTTTGACATGATCATGAAAAATTACACGCGTTCGTTAATTTCCAGTTTACCCGAGATCTGATACGTGACACGGGGTTCAAATTGGAGAAATTAAAATTACAAATTTCAATTTTATAATTTCAGAATGAATTTTCACAAAAATAGGGGCGAAAATTGCGTACATGTTCGCTATTTGCCGTTAAAAAACTCTGATTTTGAGTCAGATCAACTTACTTTTTAGCAAAATAAGACGTGACGATTGTTTAATTCTTAGCCGATGTAGATTTAAATTACTAGTTATCGCCTGCTGGGTAAATAAGTGTCTTATAAATATTAAACATATACGTTTTAACTTTTTCCTCTTTCCGAACAAAGGGAGGTCGATCCTCAAGTCGATAAAGCTGACATTTGACCACGTTGTAAAGAAATCTTCAACTCTGAAGATCTATTTTCAAGTATGGAGGCGAACGTTACCGAAGATGTACTCAGCTACAAAACAGTACAAAGAATAGTTTGTACAGCTTCTCTGCACGGAGAATATTTTTTCTACCCACTAACAGCTGTGAACATTGTTCTCGCCATCACCGCATTTCTGGAAAATGCTGTGATCCTCGTGGCGCTTCAAAGGAAGAATTCCCTTCATCCGCCATCAAAACTCATGTTCCAATGCCTGGCAGTCACCGATCTCTGTGTTGGTGTTATTGCACAACCTCTATTTATCATTCAGTTCGCGTCTGCCACACATTGTCATTTTCAACTTTGTTTCACCGTTTTGAGCATCAATGACGTGGTTGGCTCGTGTTTAAGTGGAGTGTCTTTGCTGACATTAGCTGCAATAAGCGTCGACAGACTTCTCGCTCTTTCTTTGGGAATGGAATACAAGAAAACGATAACTTTGAAGCGAATGCGCTTGGTGCTGATATTTATATGGATTTTTAACATTTCTGTTAACAGTTTAAGGCGTTTTTGGAGGTACTTTTTAATCTCAAGAGTGACTTCTGCGGTCATTTATTCTTCTCTAGTTATCTCAGCTTTCTGCTACTTTAGGATCTATTTCAAGCTCCGCCATCATAAAAAAATTATGCAAGAAAATGACCAGCAAGGACGACAACTGAACGAAGAATATTTGAATCGCCCTCTGAACATAGAGCGATACAGAAAGACCGTGTCCACTGCATTGTGTGTACAATTAACAATGGTAGCATGTTACCTTCCTTATGGTATAGTCGTAGCTATGGTACGGCATTCTCCATCGCTCAATATTGCCGTTCGCCTTGCAATATCCTTTGTGTTCTTAAACTCATCCCTGAACCCAATTCTCTACTGTTGGAAGATCCGTGGAGTGAAGCTGGCAGTAAAGGACATTATAAGACAGTTGTGTAAATCATGCCTAACTGGGAAATCTGGGGAGGATTTATCTGGCTAGACAAATAGCATTATGCGAACGTTAAAGGACGAAAAAAATTTCCGTTTCATCAGTGATCGAGACATTGTCGATCTCATTTGAATAGTCACACATTAGCGTTTCATCTATGTACTCAACATTACATGAAAGTACTGCTCTTAGCTTTCATTTGAATGGTCACACACCAGGGTTTCATCTACAGGCTTAAAAGTTAGAACCACCTTGTACGGCATAATAAACAGCACCGCATGAAAGTACTGCTCAATAGCTTTCATTTAAATGGTCACACATACAGGGTTTCATCTTAAAGGAGCTTAGTCAAGTCAGTTATTTTGGCCACGAAAAAAAAATTACCTTTAAATTGAAGGAAACCTGAAAATAGTAGTTTAAAAAGATAGAAAAACACCAAAGAGAAAATAATAAACCATAAAGGAACAAGGATGGTTAAGGATGGAGAAGATTGACCCGAATAACAAACGACGAACTTGAAAAAGTTAGGCGACCACGATGACGGGCGCGATGGAGTCAGGCGCTGAATGAAAAACAGCGGCTGTGACGTCAAGCCAACCAAGCAATCAATAGCGGCCAGGCTACACAGCAAAATGTTGCTGGGTCTTTCAAGGCTCGGTGTTTTGAGGTCACTGTAATGATGATGATGAGGTCAATTTGCTTAAGAACGTGAAAGTAGCAAGAACATCGTTCTCGTAGGACGTACCGGGAATGGTGACCAAGGCTAGCAAGCCGCATAGAGTGGTAGCGTTGCCTTGCTTCAGGGTCATCCCTTTCTTACCAGGACTACATACGTAAGAACAGGAGTCGGGTCGATCTGAAAGTAATAATAATAAACGGGAACAAAGACAGTTGTTGTTGTTATTTTTTTTTCCGATCTCGTGTGAAGCTTAGATTATGGATTTATGAAATAAAGATAATTTTGTGGAAAATATATTGAGTG